AGCAGCCCAGATGTGCCAAGCGATGCACGCATTCAATCCGAAGGGCCGATGGCCAGGGCCATTCCCAAGTCTGACAACGATGTTATCTGCTATGTGAAACGCTACGCTTCGGATGAATCCGTTTCGCAGAAGCCGCTGCTGGCATTGCCACATGAGTTCCTTGCCCGGCTGCCGACACCAATTCCCACCCTCGAGAGACCTTTAGCGCCACTATCCTTGAATAAGAGGAGTGGCTGGCTGGCTTTGGCACAGGAGCTCTTTCGAAGAAGGCGAGACTCCGGTAGGGCCGTTCGCTACCTTCTGAGAGCTGCTGAGGGTGGCACCATTGCCGCCGAAGATGTTGTGCCGTTGCCTTGGCACACGTCGAACCACGAGCTTAGACTGGTTCGTTTGGAGGATGCTCCGCCGAGTTCTTTTTTCAAGCTGTTTCCAGTTGCCAAATTCAGGGCATCACTCAGGAGGTAGCTTCAGGCTCATGAACCTAAGGTTCGGAGCCCCAGAGTCCCCAGAGTCCAGCAGCATGATACCGCATGAGATCGAACTTAGGATTTAAATTGTAGAGTCCTTAGATCTGGCATGCGACCCGGGCCCGGTGGTAAAGTGCTGTGCGGACATGTGGGCTATGTCCAATTGACGATTCCCTTTGCTACCCCTCGCTGCAGAGAAGATGAAAGCATTTCATGTGCAGGTTGAGTTTGACGTCTGACTGCCCTAGTCTGAGTGCAATCAATACATTGTCAGGATGTTCTACCACTATGTAGACGCAGCTCCAGGCTTCCAGACAGGATTGGGGGCTGCCAGGGGTGCCTTGTTGCATCCATCATGGACTCGGAGGAAGAGCGACTGCTTGCAAGCGCCGATGTGGGCACTGACTCCGAGGAAGGCGGCCTTTCTCAATCGCAACCAGATGTAAATTTCTCCAAAACTACCCAATACCTTCAAAACATAAGTATTCTGAACTCCCCAAACCCTGTTGATCCCAGCAACGATTTCAACCCGGATCTCACTACAGTCACTACAGTTACTCCGAACAATAGATCCTAAAAAGCTAAATGCATCAAGTCAAAGCCCTGCAAAACGAAACAACAGGACCTATGTCACTTCAGACCCAAGCACACTGCACAAAGTAATGTATTCTTTTCCTTCTGCACCAGGCTTCTCTCGCCCGGAACTGCCCTAAACCTCAACCCCAAACCCGAAACCCCAAACCCTACACCCTAAACCCTGAACCCTAGACCCAACCCTTAACCCTGAACCCTAAACCCAAAACCCCGTAGAAATAGGATCAACTACACCCCCCAAGGCCAGGAACACCGGAAGCCTGTGATAAATCCTGCCGAGGCAGCCACATCCTTCGAAGAGACCGCTTCACTTTTCTATGGCTGCTGCTGTCGAAGGAGTGCTGCAGAAGGTCCACTGCGGGTTTAGCTTCGGATGTTCACTGGTTTGTTAATTCCTTATTTCCCTGGAAACAATCTTTCTGGGTCCCTGACCAGGGCAAACGGCAGCCGAAGCCTGGAGCACGCCAGCCTAGGGCACGGCGGTCCCGAAGGAATATATATGGAACCCAGCTCCCGCCCGCGACTGGTTCGGGGGCCCCGCGAACAGTTTGTGAACAGTTTCGATGGCCACAAAGGCAGGGAACTTCAGGCCTCAATGTTTGGGTTCACTTCGGTGCTCAGACGAGAAGCCTTCCGATGTCCCCAGGTTTATGAAGAAGGCCCAGGAGGCTTGGGGTGCTGGCTGGGTGGTGCAACGTCTGGCCCTGAACCTCAGCTGGCTGCTGACTACGACCTTTTCCGGAGTCGGATGTGTCGAACTGGCTTGCAGAAGTGCGCACTGTCTGCAACAAGTGGTAGATCTGTTTGCCCTTAATGCTGACAAACCTCAAAACCCCAGAAGTTCACACTGTCCGCAACAAGTGGTAGATCTGTGTGCCCTTATAGAATAACCTGACAAACCCCAAAACCCTAATTCCTACACTCTACTGAACCACTCCTTTGCAATGAGGTCGAGACCGTGGCCCGTGCCGCCATCCTCGAGGCCGGTTTGGGTGCGACCTCGGCCTGCATCCAATTTGGCTGCGCTACAGACTACTGCCCGTACTCCCAAGCAGTGTTGCAGAGCACGTGGCGAGGTCGATGTGTGTCTTCATCTAAGTTGTTCATCTTGAAGTAGCTGCAAGCAGGTAGGTTGTCGATGTATATCGAACTGAAGGGAACGATTCAACAAATTTATTCAGGTTCGGGGATGTGCTCCACTGGCGAACGAACGATGGCCAACTCATGACCTCTGCATGGTGCAGCACCCACAAGAAGTTCTGCGCCCTCCCTACGAACGACAGACACGGGCGGAAATTCAGAGTGGAAGCCGCTGGGGCCTCCTGCCAGCCTTTCAGTGCAGCCGGGAAACGAACTAAGGCTCGCTATTTGATTTAAAAATGGGGTGCCATGCCGAGCCACCAAGGATTCATATAACTTCGAGTATAATAGTAGTTTCCCCGGCCCTAAACAGGGTGTTGGACTGATTTCACCTTGCCCTGCAGACCCAGCATGCTGCCTTCGCTTCTCATACTGTGTGGCACGAGATGCGGCAGAAGCACAAGGAGGCCAGCATGGGCAGGACTCAGGTTACAAGGCCTTTTCTTGCTCCGAGATGAAACATAACATACGTGAAGAGTCGCCTATTTCCGGAGGATATCATCATATTCGAGAACACACCTTTTTTCGACGTGGACATCCTTAAGGAACGCTTGGGAACTTGGGCAGCACCCCTCTTCTGTTTCTCCTTCTGTTTGTGCTCAGGCATCAAAAATCAGTTGGCAAGGTGTTTTGTGACGATGTGATGTGAACACCTGAGGAGACTCCTATGAGATTCGCACGGTGTGCATCTGTACCCGTCATCTTGGCTTTGCTTGTGCCAGGGCAAGACTCTGGGCTGTGCTAACGAACCGTGCGACGGTCAAATGGACAACTACGAAGTCCCTGCAAGATCTGGTGTCCGTGTTTTTCGCAAGACCATGCATGCACGTGCTTGGGCGGGCTAGCCTTCAGTTTCAAGCTTGTTTCCCTGATGCTGCAACGCTGATCAGAGACCTTTGCCTGCAACCCAAACCCCAGGCGGCCGACTTCTATTACGTCAAGAGACTGAGATCTCAGAAGTCCGAGAACTTCAGCGAGTCCCAGCTTCGGACTAAGAGGAGCTACGAGGAGGTGTTTGGAGACACCAAAAAGGCTCTGGGCTACATGGTTTCATGTAGGATTTTGAAGGGGTCTAGACAGGGTTGAACAAACAAATTTTCCTAAACCCGCCACTCTGAAACCCGTAGACTCTATATAGACTTAGGAAGCCGAATCTGATCCCGTTTCATGTGCATGCACCCAAAATCCCAAGCTTAAAAACCCTAGAAGTCTGGAACCTCAAGCCACCCTAAACCGATGATGTCTACATTCTCTTGAGTTCAGGAACACCAAGTTTGAAGCCCTACGCTCTAGACTGGAAAGGATCTGGGTTTAGGACTATCAAGCTGTCACTCTATTGTATGAGGATGTAATCTCGTACCGATGGCCTCCTCGAGCAGGTCTATGACTTGTCCCAAGCCTCGACCAGCCACATGCGCACAGAGCTTGAAGATGGTGCACTCATGACAGTGAAGACAAACTGCGGCAAGCTGTACTCCCGACAGCACAACCGGTTGATGAACGTAGAGGAGATTTTTACAACGCTGTGTGTGCCGACAAAGCCCGCTTTCGTGCCACGACTACATCTATGAATCACTTGGCATTACACTACTTCACTCGAGAATCTCGCTCCCATCTCAGGCATCCACGGCTGGAAGCCCCGCCATCGATGTCAGCCGCCTGCCGTCGTCCAAGGCGTTTGCGTTGGCCGGGAATGGTATGCATGTAGCACAGGCAGGTGCCATCATGATGATAGCGGCCCTGTTTCTGGAAAGAGTGTAGCCTCCGCCTCTCTGGGTGTCTCCTAGAAAGATCAGTGTCCATATCTTGAGGCTAGTAAAGAATTATTATAATAGTGGTACGAGCAGAAAGTGCTGGAACCCGATACTCCCATGACGATGTAATCCTATATAATCCTTGACCCTATGAACATCGAGTGATAGTACCAAGAAAAACCCGTAAGACCTTCAATGCCAACGCCCTAGTCCCTAAACCGTAGTCCCTAACAAGTTGAATTCTAAATCTATCTCGGCACATAGTCCCGTTCAGGTTCAGCTTTGTGCTCTGGGGTTGAGGGCTTGGGAGTTTCTTGGGTTGAGTGGTTTCCTCTAGGATGTCTTGTCCTGAAAGCCTTCGGTGCTAGCATGATTTGGCTTGGCCTTGATATTGCATTCCAGGGCTTACGTAGTCATCACCGCATCGATGAGTTCAATTCACGCAAAAAGATATGGATATACGCTATAACCCAGGGGCAACAAATTCCTAGATCAGTCAGTACCTTTCCTAATTTGGGTTTCTATAGGACTACAACGTTCCGGCATAGTGTTTCCTGCAGGATCGGGGCATTGCTACACAAATTCGAGAACGGTGCACATACTCTGTGCACGGCTTCTAATCTGCATGTTGCCAGCTCCGAGCTCAGACCAGACTTACAGGCGAACGAGGCACGAGCGGCAACAAATTGGCCGGTCCTTGCTTCAATGATTGAAGCGGTTTTGGGGGTGTGTGCACTGCAGCCTACTACTACGCAGGAGGTTCGATTCCGCAGCCGATTTGTTTTGATTTGGTGGCTACAGGCCGTTGTAGGAGAAATGCCTCCCAAGAAGAAGGCCTCCGCCAAGAAGGCGAAAGTTGAAGAGACCTGGGTGGGCCGAATGATGACAGCATTGGGGTCTCCAGAATTAAATTGAAGATAGCTCTCGATCTGTTTGCTTGGGTTTGGGCTTTTCCATGCTGACTTTAAGTGCAACTAAGAACCTACAACCCCGAGCAAGATCAGCATCCGTGCAAGCTCGTGGAGCAATACTTCGGCCCCGGTGCTGATAAAGGTGCCATCACCGCTGCTGTGAACCACTGGCTTTCTTCGAATGGCCACCCCGAGGTAGCAAGCATCAACCAGACATGTGTACTTGCATAAATGTTGCAGGGCTTCTTGTACCTTAATTAACACAAAAGAATCAGAATCCTATGTCCCAATGTCAGGTGCGGCTGGACGGCCACAAGTTTCCACAGGAGAACCTCGCGAGCAACATCCCGCTCCTCTCCCTGAGCCTGCCGATTCCAGTGGACCAGGCCCCGCCCCTGGTTACGTGGTCGAAGTTTGCAGCTTCGATTTGGACTTCCTGGGAGAATGAACGGGAGCCTCTGGAGATTAGGCCGCTGGGCAGTCCTCCTCTTCGACCCGGGGATCTCCTCAGCTCCTCTTGTGTTGGGGTTTGCCGTGGGTACAGCCGCAGCACCATCCTAGCCTTCGGGATATGCAGAACGCTCATGGTGGAAGACATCGGAACCATGACAGAGAGCGAGAAACAGGAGTTCACCAGGTGGGCTATGGCAGGTTGCATTGTGACATCTTCTGGTCCAGGAGGAACAATATGAAAATATACCTTCCTTGCAGTAGATGTTTCTTCCAGGGTTCAGGGCGAGGGGGTTCAGGGTTAAGGGTGCTTGAGGCATAGCAAACCAGCAAAGTAGGACAATGCACACTCTTGGTTTTGTCCTGATCTCAGCTTTTGGTGACGTTGAAATCATTTATCTACATGATTTTGTTGTCATTGTGTTTGCTATGCTGACTCCCATTCTTATTGTTGTCGCTCCTCTTGTGGTTATCATTGCTGCTACATCCTACTGCTATCGATGTTCCTGTTGCTGTTGTGGTTGCCGCGGTACCGTGGTTGTGGCTATCGGTGTTGTTGCTGTTTCTTTTGCTGTTGTTGTTGTTGCTGCTGTTAGTTGCTGTTGCTTTTGCTGTTGTTGT